CTTCAAATTACATTGGTTATGTGTTTGCCAATATCCATTTATATATCTGTTTTGTCCGCGTGTATTCCCTTACATTCTCAATCGTTATCTTTTGTAGGTTTGTGTATATTTCAGACTGAAATCTATCAGTCTGTGATCATTAGCATATTCATCATCATGTAAGTCATTATGACACTACTCCACATTGAAATTAATTTCTTATTTCTTACCGTATAAAATTGGAATTAGAAGAAAAAGCTGATAAGAATTATTCATTTTCGAGTAATAAGCTTTTTAATCTAAATCACGTGTAGAATTTTTAGGCATATTTTATACATATATTTAATTATATATTCTGCCTTTTATAGACATATTCATTCACGATTTTTGGAAAAGTTAAAAATGTACGTTAAAAAAATAGAACTAGAAACGTGTACCAGAATTAGTAGTTGAAGTGGAATAAAGTAGGCTTTTAGGTGAAAGCATGCTTTAATGAGTCTGTACTCACACATAAAAATAATAACAATCAAAAGTAGCATTCTTCGACTATTAAAAGAGAAGGCAAGCTGTTTACAAACGGCATTTTAAAGCAAGCCCTAATCTTGGGATGCTCAATACCAGAGGAAAAAAAGTAGACGAAAGGAGACACTGCCCTGAGAATCGGAGGCAAACATGAGAATGATGAATAGAGATTGGCTGAAACTGAAAGAGAGGCCCAGAACACAGTTGGTTGGACAATGCTGGTCGGTGGCCTATGTTCCTCCTAAAGGCAACAGGCTCAAGTAAGTAAGTAAAGTAATTACTTAGTACATTTTAAAGGCAATAGAAGATACTACAGGCTAATTCTTGACTACCATTGATTTCGTTAACTACTTATTATTCAAAGTTTGTTTCAGGGCAGTAGGGTTTCTGGATACCAGCAGCTGCCAGATTACCAGATCGGAAATCAGTTCGTTACAATGTGGAAATTAATGAGAAAATTCTAATGCTAATAAGAGTATTTCAGAACTAAGTATTATATAGATAATTTAGTTTATTAATTGATAGTGAAGATTGTGAGGGATGACCGAAGTGTGTGCAACGGAGAGGAAACAGAGATAATAGGTGAGATAGATAAGGTTAATGATCCAAGGAGATGGCAATGATAACAACTAGCAGGTCTCAAGACATGCACCAGCCACAGCTTGTCCAAGACTTACTTACTTACTTAATTACTTACGCCTGTTACCCCCAATAAAGCATAGGCCACCCACCAGTTTTCTCCAACCAACTCTGTCCTAGGCTTCCCTTTCTAGTTCTGTCCAATGTTTGTTCATTCCTGTCATATCTTTCTATATTTCTGGGCGTAATGTGTTCCTTGGCCTTCCTCTTTTCGTTTCGCCTTGAGGGTTCCATGTGAGGGCTCGTCTCGTGATGTAGTTGGATGCTTTTCGTAGTGTGTGTCCTATCCACTTCCACTGCTTCTTCCTGATTTCCTCTTCCACTTGAATCTGGTTTGTTTTCTCTCATAGTATGTTGTTGCTGATCGTGTTTGGCCAACGAATCCGCAGTATTTTGCGTAGACAACTGTTCATAAACACTTGTATCTTCTGGATGATGGCTTTGGTAGTTCTCCAAGTTTCCTCTTCATACAGTAGAACTGCCTTGACATTTGTATTGAAAATCCTGATTTTGGTTTTGGTTGAAAGTTGTTTAGAATTCCAGATATTTTTCTATTGTAGAAATGCAGCCCTTGTTTTGCCGATCCGCGCCCCCACATCTTCGTCGGATCCACCTTGGTTGTAGATGATGCTGCCGAGATATGTAAAGGTGTTAATGTTCTCCAAGGCATCTCCATCAAGATTGATTTGGTTGACGTATGTCGTGTTGTATCGTAGAGTCTTACTTCTCCCTTTATGTATGTTAAGACCTGCTGCTACATTTGTCGTCTTCTCACCAGGAGAAAGAGAAAGGGTGAGAGTAAGCAACCTTGCCTGACACCGGTCTTCACCTCGAAAGAGTCTGTCAGCTGACCTCCGTGCACGATTCTCCCCTTGAATCCATCATAAGAATTCCGTATGATGTTAACTATTTTCTCAGGCACCCCGTAGTGTCGAAGAAGCCTCCACAGTGTTTTCCTGTCCACGCTATCGAATGCTTTCTCGTAGTCGATGAAGTTGATGTAGAGTGGTGAGTTCCATTCAACTGATTGTTCCACAATGATCCGTAATGTAGCGATTTGGTCGGTAAACGATCGGTCCTTACGAAATCCATCCTGTTGGTCTCGTAGTTGGGCGTCTATGAAGTCCTTCCTTCTCTTTAACAATACCCTGGTGAAAAATTTGCCTGATATTGAGAGAAGAGTGATGCCTCTGTAGTTCTCACACTTTCTGAGATCTCCTTTCTTTGGTACTCTCATCAGGGGTCCTCCGCTTGAGATAATTGTCTCTGAGTTACAGGAGAATAAGAGGTGATCTGATAATAGCGTAAAACATATTAAGCCCGCTAAACCATCCCAACGCGAGCATCTTACCAATGCATCACCAACACTCACCTTGCTCATCAGAGAGCGAATACTCAGGTTCGTGCACACTTTTTTCATTGAGAAGCATCGCAACTTGGAATGCTCTCCCAGTCGAGGTGACCGCAGCCTCATCAGTGGACAGCTTTAAGAAGAGACTTGTTAATCACGTACTATGAGAGAGGTGTATGCCACTATCTAGAAAGGCACACGTCTGTATAATTCTCTCACCGTTTTTTATCCATACGGGAACTACTGATAATGTCACCGGCCTCTGTATGCACTTAATGTCTTCCTCTGTACAAATCTGAAAATTAATGTAGGCATCACTAATAGTATCTCTTCGTTCTTTCCGCTTCTCATGTAACAGAGTATGGTGTCTCCAGTCACAACCTTCAACAACACACGACCTCGGCGATCGACGATTTTTTGCTATATGGTTCGCTTTCAGACAAACATTACATAACTTATGCTTAAAGACGAATTCTTTCCTTTCTTTAACATATTTGTCTTTAAACTTCTGGCATTGAGCGATCTGGACAAGGTGAACTATGTAAGGAGGTATTGCCATCATTGATGCTTGCATGTGCTACCGTTGATATGTTGTAACTTGCGACAGCTTTCCCTTTCAAAACACCAAAATCTCTTTTGTCGACATTATCGCTGCGGTTGACAAGTAGGCCGTATCTACTGTTAGCTATATCTGACTGTCCTTTTACAAACTCACAAAGGTCGTTGAATAAAGGCTCCCTACTTGTCTTGAGAATTCGACAAGCTATTTTAACCCATTCTCTCTGTAGGTATGGTGGAAGTTTTAAAAACATACTTTCGATGGTTTTCGTAGAATTAAGATGGGATAGGTAGTTCATTTTTGTGAGCGTAAGCTCACATATATATATCTCACGAGCCAGCCTTCTTAAACTATTTGGGTCGGTCTCCTTAATAGCAGGGATGTTCAACATCTTGTCGATAAATGCACGGGCAACTACGTGTTTCTGACCGAATGCTTCCTCAAGAAGCTCTAACGCTTTACGATAACCTTCTTCCAGTCTAAGCAATGTACAATGAATGATGGTAGCCTTGGCCTCACCATCACAATATTCAATCAAATAATTTTAACTTAGATCGAGGTCCGACGCTTTCATCAACACAATCCTCGAAATTTCGTATGAAACTCCAGCAGTTCATAGGATTACCATCAAACCTTATGATTGCTCGTTTGAGTAGGTCTAATGCTTTAGATATCATTCCTACCCAGTCCTTTCCTGAGTTGTTATCAACTGTACGTGAAACGGATGTAGATTCGTACGACATAACCTTTTCATCCTGGATTTGGTTACAATATTCTCTTCCTCTTTGCCGTAACCGTTCTAACTCAATTTCCTTTTCTATATGAGCTAAACGTACTTTAGCTTATTCTAATTCTAACAAAGGATCCATTCGGAAGCTATTTCTTCCAGACTGGTCTTCGCTATGAGTTTCTGAGTAGTGTGGAGACAATTCGGGAATCTGATCAGTCTTATGATCCTCCGAAGACATTTGAAGGTACCCAGTATATGAAATTCTGATGAGCTACTGGTCGAAACTATGTAGGATTTAATTTGTCCTACAGATGTAATTCTAAAACAGTAAACGCAAGACTGGCGATCACAGAATCAAAGGTAAAGCTACAGTTAGAGAACAACAACTTGGTTTTAAAATTTATCTGTTTCTAAATAAAAAAACGATTAAATTAGTACAATAGATAAGGAAATTACAATTATCAAGTAAGACGAGCAAACGTACCAACCAGTATAGCGTGTCTTTAGAAAATGAATAAAAACATGAGTCACACCAATATAAAATTAAATAATAACGTCCTTCAATCGATAGGTCATTCACAACAAAGAAAGTTTACAGACCGGTTAGACTAGATAACGTGGTGAGCGCTTAACCAATCTGATTGGTTAGTTATGGCATAACTACCATTAGTTATAAAATAACTAACAAGAAGTACAATCACAAGGATTAGATATCTGTTGATACTCTTGCAAATATTGAAGAAAGGAGGAACAAGAAAGCAGCAGTCAATGTCAGCCGAACAAGAGCAGAGAAAGTTACCACACGAGTTGCATACACAGAAGCAAACAGGAAAGTGAAGAAGAGCATCAGAGGTGACAAACGCAAATATGTGGAAGATCTAGCAATGAGGGCGGAAAAGGCTGCAAGAGACGGAAACTTGTGACAATTGTACGAAACAACAAAGAAGCCCGTTGGAAAATAGGACCAGTGAAAAGCAAGGAAGGCAAAGTAATCAGCAACACTGAAGAACAGCGAAATAGGTGAGTAGAGTACCGAAAGTACAAGAATCGAGCGCAAAAAAACCAATTGGTTCATGCTAGCTCCTGAAAAAGATATTGGATATATACATGGCACAGCATTTCTTGCTTACTATGTTTGACAGATTTTTTTACTTCTCACCTTGCCTCCAGGTTAGACACAAAAATCTGAATTTTCTTCGAGCTTGTTGAAAGGTCCTGATGGTTATACAATTCTAGGTTGAAGGTCAGTAGAAGAGCGGGCAAATTCTGCTCGTTAGCTTAGTGTTGAAATCTCCGGTGGTCGTCTTGCTTGAATCCCATTCAAAAAAGTTATTCAGTCTTTTTGACTAGGCAGCTTTTGACTCTAAACTATGGTAATTGTCTTTTTGTTTGATAACTTTTTTAAAGAGTATCTTAGCACACAATGGATCTGCAGTCATTGGAATGTCCGGCAAAGATTGCGCGGCTATTGCTTGTGATCTTCGGTTTGGGGTTAATTTGCAAACAATTTCCACTGACTTCACTAAAGTGTATTCTCTTGGACCTCGGTTGTATGTAGGGCTTCCTGGTTTGGCAACTGATAATCAGACAGTGTAAGCATTTAAAAAAATATTATGGCTATTCACCAGATTCCAGCGTTTACAGTTCCGAAAAAATATGTATGAGCTACGTGAAAATAAGACGATCAAACCGCAAACTATAACTACCATGTTATCCAATTTGCTGTATGAGCGCAGGTAATGTACTACTTATCAAGTCACAGGTATAGGTTTGGCCCATACTTTGTTGAGCCGGTAGTCGTTGGTATTGATCATACTACAAACAAACCGTACGTCGCATGCATGGACCTAATTGGCTGCGTATGTGAGGCAAACGACTTTGTTGTCAGTGGCACCTGTACTGAACAAATGTACGGCATGTGTGAAACACTCTGGGAGGAAAATATGGTGAGTTGTTACATGTTCTCGTTATTAGTACTTCTTAGTGTAGTGTGAATGCTTGGAATAAACCAATTTGACTAGTTTATCCTGTGTATATTTCACCCCCATTCCTTCACACTGCTTGCCTTCAGATAGTAATAGTTTCGTTCTGGTGTAAAACTGAATAATATGTCTAACTTTAAGTGAATTTATTTTCCAAACCCGAAATTCGGTTTACTTTGTTAATCCCTTATCTCATTATATGGTCTTACGTAATGTAGCAACTTGAATCGGTGTACTTTGGTGTCGTGATGAAATAATTCAATAGCTTCCAAAAAGCTCGTGTAGATGATCTGCTGATGGTCTCTTAAATGGCACGCAATGCGAAATAAATGGTCATCAAAAACGTAAGGGTCGGTTAAAGCCACGTAGTTGCTTAACCGTGATCGGTTCTGGGTAATCTAGGATGACCGCCAGTTTTTGGAAGGCAAATACACTGAGCGTCAATAACATAAGAAAATCGAGAGCCGGTTCCAGGTTGACAATTCCAATTCTGCACAGCAATGCCAAGCCCTTGGAGTTGTCTGAAAACAATGTCCAGATGCGGGTGATAGGATTCTCTTTCCAGAATTTTGATCAAGCGTACACAACATTCAGATCCCTAAATACGTCATCAATCAATTTCTAGGATTTGAGTGGCGTTTCTTACAAAGAAAATCATTTGCGAAAAATCTTGAAATCCAAAGACATAGTTGTATTAAGTATGTCGTCCGCAGCTACGGGACCTTGATTATGTTCGTTAACTACATCGAGTTTTAAAAAAGTCGTACCTTTCAAGTCGTGACTGTGTGGCAGTGGATAACAATCGGGCGTGAATTTCGTAGTAACTGGCCGATAATAGTTATCCGGGCGCTAGTCACTGCTTTTCTTTTTGAGAACTACGTGCAGCTGAGACGCCCATGAAATGTTTGGTGGTAGAGCGATTCGTCTATGTTTAGTCTTAGCTTTCTAAGAACTGGTCGGCGTGCTTTCAATAATATGGATGTTCCCGTGGTCGTGACATGCTGTAAGATTGCTAGTTAACGATGGTGATTACAATAATGTGTGGTACAGTTCCAGGTACTTGTTAAGCATATGTGGGGAATGGAATTTCTATCCATTAACCTCAGGTTGCTTTGCCCGACCAGTCGGCGATAGTGCTGTAGCACCTCTGACAATCATTGTCACTGGCACGTCTCCTATTATACAAACCTAATGGATAGGTTTGCGTAACCCCACGTTAGGATAAACATACTGCAGATCAGTATTTTATTTGCCCAGTTTAAATCGAGGACCAGATCTTGTGTATTATCGTTAGCATTCGTAATCTGGACGTATTCATACTTCTAAAGTACCGCAACGATATAAACGACTAACCCAGTAAGTGGAGGAAAATGAGGTGACCTAACCTTATAATATGAGCCATCAATTATTGACATCAACTTTTAGAACGATTGGTAAGATTTTTACCCGACATCTGTAGATTATCACATTTTTTTCGAAATACTAAGTACTTGTTGGAATCTGAGTCATTAATCCGTCAACATCACACGTTCCTAAATTCGATGCTTTTATTATCGCTTCCTGTTCCTTTTATGTCCTAGCAAATGTTTATTAATTGATTTTGCACGGTATGTTAACTAGTTAATCAGTTATCGAATATTCTGAAGCGTTAAACGTTGGAGTCAAACAAAGTTAAACTTTTTTTGCCTAACTCAGTTGCACTGGGAAAGTTTACAAAAACGCCAGTTTGAGTTAGATAATTCATCCACAATTACGCTGACTATTTTCAAGCTAAGTATTCCTCAGTTGGTGACCGAAACATACCTCAACATAAATAACTTTTGAGACGGTTTTTCGTTTCTTGATTGGAACAGTCAGTACTGCTGGCTTTATGCAACTTGTAAATGTGTCTGTAGAATCCCTTGGAATCGTGTAATAAACTTTAATCATACATTTTAACTGAAGAAAAATCACCGTGCATTTCAAAATCAGGAGCTAACGTTTCTTATTTTTATTTCAGAATTCGAAAGAGCTATTTGAGTGTATTTCACAATGTATCTTAAACGCCCTCAATCGTGACGCCGTTTCGGGTTGGGGCGCCCGAGTTTATTTAATGTAAGTTATAATACGTTTCTTAAAGCGATGCAAAGTTTAAAGATTAAAAACACTATACAGACGACCCTGAGCAACTTACCAGTCAGCTAAGTGTTTGGTTATGTAACGAGTTATGATAAAAAGAAATACACTTTGACGGAAAGTTCCCATCTGATGAGGAACGTTTACATATGGAGTTATATACATTACTATTGTAAACAAAGCTAAGTTGGAAATTAGTAATCGAGCTAGGATTGATAGGTAAAAGTTTGGATTAGAAATGAGGTTTGCGACGGTTAGGGTTAAGAGAGTTACTATTTGGGATTAAGGTCAGAGTGGAAGATATTTCTTAGCCTCACAAACGTCTCTAAAATCAAACAGGCACTTAGGTTAGTAATTTGTATCTTCATACACAGTAGATCTGCAACCAATGATTTGAATTGTACACACGTATTTTCCGTGTATGTCGGTTAGTCAGTCAGTCAGTCTCAACTTGGAACTTGGCACACATAAACATCAGTTTAAGTTGCTACACCACATAAACCCCTGAGAAATGAAATTGTCAGGACAAATCCCAAAGTAGTAGAGAGTGTAGCAGCATTAGCGGCGATGGAAAAGATTAAGAGTCAAGAATAAGATTCGAGAAAATACAAATCAATAAAATAAATTAAACAGGCAAATAGGTCATGAGCCATTTCAAGCGGTTTCCAGTCATGTACAACCTGGAACTTCGTACGTACGTACATCAGTTTAAGTTGCCATACCATAGTAGCACAGAAATGCAATCGTCTATTCAAATCCCATAATAGTAGAGGCAGTAATCGCAAAGATCACGGTCCGATGATATTACTCCAGAAATATAATCTAGTGAAATCGATTTGAGAAGAGAAAGATGAAGGTCATGAGAAGTTTAGATTAGGATTTGGAAGAACATAAACGATAGATGCGCCTGCAACATTGCGAACGATTTCGAGCCATGTCACTCAAGGTCTCTAAACATCGATTACTATTGTCTGTGGGACCCCAACCAGGTAGTGTACACCTACCAGCAAGGCTCAGTCCACTTCTCAGTGACTTCATGGATTTGTTTCATGTACTCCTACACCACAAAACAGCTCTTCGGGTAGTCGGCGACTGGGCATACGTAACACATGTCCCAACCACCCCAACTGATGAAGTTTCAATACTTGATCTATTGATCTGCCATCCCTACCTAGTACTCGTTTCCTAACTATAGGATTGCTTACTTGGCTGTCCCAGATACTCGAGCAATGCTTCGGAGACACCCACGATTTAAAACCAGTAACCTACGAATATCTTCAACTCTGACTGGCCATGTTTCACAGCCATAAAGTAGGATGGAGCGAACTGCTGTGCAGTACACTCATCCTTTAGTCACCAAACGGATATCTTGCCTACCCCATAAGTGACGCAGGTTGGCAAAAGTCGATCGAGCCAATTGTATCCGTGCTGAGATTTCGTCAGTCACCATGTCATCGGCTCTGATGAGACTTCACAGATGAGTAAAGCAGTCAACACGCTCAACTACTTCATTCCCTATCACTAGTTCAGGCGCCTATACAAGCCAATCCTGAAGCAACATTTTTCATTTCAAGAGAAAAAACCACATCCCGAACGTGCTTGCATTGATGCTTAGGGTAGTCAGAAAACTGCATTTTGTCAGCGTCTTCACCAAGTACAAATATAACATCGGCACATTCCAAGTAAATTAGTGAATCTCCTGGTGGAAGGTCAACTCCTGAAAAGTTAAACAAGAATGAAGAAAGTGGACATCCCTGACGGACACCACCTGAAGTAACCAATTCCGATGACAGTTCGCCATAAGTTCTCACTCGACCAGCGGTGTTCGAGTAGAGAGCTTGTATAAGGTTAATATACTTCTTTGGCACACCTTTCAATGACAGACACTGCCACAGAACCTCACGATCCACAGGATCGAATGCCGCCTTTAGGTCCAAGAACACACTATAGTCCGACGCCTAAATGTGTCTGTGTTCCAGGACCTGTCGTAGTTTGAAAATATGGTCTATACAACCACGTCCAGGTCTAAAACCAGCCTGGTTTTCTCGATTCTGCTCTTCCCGAGCTCTAGTTAGACGTCTAAGGATAGTCGAGGCTAACAATTTAGAAACTATATTAGTTAGACTTATTCCCCTGTGATTGTCACAAGACTTTTGTCCTTTCTTGTAGGTTGGGACAATTAGCGACTGAGACCAGTCAGATGGGATTACGTCCAGTTCCCAGATTCTACTTAAGATTTCAGTCAATCTAGCTGCTAAAACTGGACCACCATCCTCAGGGGTCTGACTATCAGGACCTGCAGCTCGCCCCCACTTCAGATATCCTAACGCTTTCTCAACGTCATTAAGAATAGGGGACTTACGTCGATTCGCCATTCAGGATGACTGGGGATCGTGGGCAATCGAAGTGTGGCTCGAGGCCAGTTGAACTGATCCCTAAAGCGTTTTGCCCATCGATCCAGTCTCCTGGATTGAGAATGGATAATAAGACCACCCTTTTCCAAAGTAGTCTCACTGACATTCGGGTCCCTAATACCGGTTTCTTTGATAAGGCGGAAAAGTTGTCTAGTGTTACCTATCGCCGCTGCCTTTTCCATCGCTTTTGCTTTCGCCACCCACTACTGTTCGCGGTCGTTACGTAGGCTTTTTATCAGTGTGCGCCTAAGCTGACTACGCTCTTCATCATGTTCAGAGTCAGGTGGGATGAGTTTTCGAGCATCCATCAGTTCGGTAGATGCGACTGAAATCCACCGCTTCATCCAAGCCTTATGGTTTACCTTGCTTGCGGATATCACTGCTGTTTCCACAATCTTTTTGATATCTTTCCAAGCTGCCTCCGGATGGTAATCGCTTACATAGTTGCCTAACTCTCTTTATAGTTGTTCCTGGAATATTTTCTTAGCTTGATTATCATTAAGTAAAGCCTTAACAGGTTTTCTTGCGATATTTTTCTGGCGTCCAGTAAAGTGCAAACAAATAGAGCTCGCACTAGGGCATGATCTGAATCTAAACATGTGCTCCAGAAAGAGCGACAGTCCTCTATCGAACCTCTCCATCGTTGGCTGATGGCAATGTGATCTAGTTGGGTTCGACGTTAAGACGACTTTGGAAGTCGCCAGGTCAACAGATGCTTTTCCTTATGCCTAAAGTTAGCGTTTGCTAAGAATAGGCGGTTGTCTGAGCATACTTGCAACAGACGGTCGCCACTGTCTGTTCTCTGAGCCGCGACACCATAACATCCACGAAGGTGTCTCTCCTGCTCACTTAGTCTACCTACTTGAGCATTAAAGTCACCAGCCGTTATTACTACATCAGAGCGCCTAGCTTTTTGGACGAGGTCCGAAAGCTTTCTGTAAAACTCATCTTTCATATAGTCTGAACTGCAGTCAGTGGGGGTATAGGCAGATACGACGAAGAGGCAACGGCGAGGGTAAATCGGGATGCTTCTTCATTTTGATTAGGTGAAATCAGATTAACGACTTTACTAGGATCCTGTATGCGCGTTTTTGAGACGCAACACACATCGATTGAGCGAGACTCGAAAGTCCTAGCTAATGATGCCTGTTGCTCTATTTGACACAATTTCCGTACATTAAATGCTCCAAAATGTAGTTTAGAACGGCGTTTAAGGAAACCAGTGACGACGTTTCGTGAACTCGCATCATCTGCATTAGTTGTGCTGTGAGCTGAAGGAATGCGACTAGAGTTAGTCGTAGAGATAAGAGAGATATTAGGGGGTGTAAAAAGGATTTGATTTTGACAAATTCGGTCTCTGGTGCTGTTATGGGTATGAAGGCGGTTGTCACACGGTTGCCCACACCGTGGAAGGTTGTTTCTTGAGGAACCTGAAAAGAAAGGTAGATTACTGTTGGTCTTAGAGACCTGGGTGCGTCACCGCAGAGCTCAAGGGACAACTGCTTGAGGCCGGTCACGCACGGCCTTTTTATTAAAGGTTTTGTGAGTATTAGCCCTGTTCATAAAAGCCCTTAGTGGGCACCCTTACCCAAGGAGACGGAAATCCGTGAGGTAGGGTGAGGTGTGACGTTTTTAGGGTAGACCCTTTCTAACCCTTCCTTCCTCGTGAGAAGGCAGCATCGCTGCAGATGCTGGTTGTCCGAGGGAAACACCTTACTGCTGTCACACGTCTCTGCAGTCAGCAGTACGACTTCGCCCTCAGACATTCAGTAGCTGCTTTTAGTGTCATCATTCTCCAATCGACCTGCCTGGCATGGTGGAACGTTTAGGAACATATGTTCCAGCCAGTATAGCTCGGTTGGGTCATCACGATAGGCAAGCCCGACTCCCACGTCAAGGTAGCAGCTACGGTCGGGATACCTCTCTATCGAGACTCTCCACCGGTGGCTAATGACAATGTTGTAGAATATTTATTTCCATTATAAATACGTATATACCGGATACATATTTTTAACAGATTAGTGACAAAATAAGTTTAAAGCCTAACGACTTTTGTCCAAAGTACTTCGAGTGTGAAATCCTAACCAGCATGAGAATGAGCGCTTTTTATGTAATTATCCGTGTCGTTGAGAAGTTGGTATGCAGAACACTTGCAAATAATATTGGTTACCTTAAACGCTAATCAGATATTGATAAGCTACAGATTGATCGTCAGTGTTGTGGGTGCTGTGATTTAACGGCAATCCGCACAGGATGCCCATATGCTAAAGTAACTGACCAGTTAGTCCTACCTATCAATAGGAAGACTCAAACATATATATATATATATATATATATATATATATATAATTCAGGATTTGGTTGCCATTCGCCTAGAAAAAAGGAACTGTTCGAAAAATAAATAAAAACTGTTTTGTGAAGTTACCCATCCATCTTCCCCTTAAGATTCTATACTAATGTTCGTTTAAATAAGAAAAAAAACGTTTGGCACTTGGTGTATAGATCTCTAATCCACTGCTCAAGATAATTTCGATTTTCCAACCGGAACTTATATTAAATTAATGCTGTGTCAGGCGTTAGCTAAGTTAGTAATACGTGGCAGAAGAATGTTAAACGCAAAACACTTGATGCATCAATTTTCCAACGCTTAGTAAGTTCAAAATATGTCGATCTCATCAGCACATTTGTATCCCTTCAGCTATTTACTCACTCACTAAATCCTCCGAAAAACCCAATTACCACAGTTGCTTATCAGAATATGTAATTCCGGCTGTCATGCAGTTGTTCGCAAATATTGTCTTTGAAGTTACATGCTAGGATATCTTAAACTGTAGTAGTGATTATTCCGTGCTAAATTGGTCTTTATGCTTCCAAATTTTTCTAGTTTAAATACTCGTTAAAGGTTTTCTCTTTCACGATATCATAACACCATCCTTGCAGTTTATCCGTATTCTAGTATACGGATATATTCCAGTCATTCGATTTCCTGAAAACAATGAAATTTTTCTTATTTATTTTTTCTTTCACTCTTGATTATGATATTCTTATTTGTTGTATTTAATTTTCTAGAGAGAAGGATGCAGTTACTATTTCAGACTTAAAAATGCGTATGGACTAGGTTGGTGAAATAAAAGTTATGTATTTTGGTTGTTTTATTTTTATTCACTACACACACTAATATGTGTGGTTTGGATTCCCGCCTGACATTTTCTTAATCCCGGTTTTCTAAGGGAATGTAAACGTACGGTTCGTAATGAGGGTTTATACGTACATTGAATTGTTGTCTCAGCACATATACGAAACGTCACCTACACGGCATTTCAGGAAACCAGTCCCACATATAAGTGAAATGAATAAACCCTTATTCATAAACGTATTTTGATTACAATAATGAGATTTTCTACTCATTAAGTGAGGGCACATCAATTAGTGTTTAGTTTTCTAAACGCTTATACGATTAAATTGTGAAGCTAAAGCTTAGCATCACGATTATCCCGCCTTAATAAAGTTAGGTACAAACAACATACATCTTGAAAAGAACATCCACCGGGTCACACCAATGGAAACGTAAAAGTAAATCAAACACTTTAGTTCGGCATCTAGTTCCTGGATAGCAAATAAGTCAACTTCCAATAGTGAGAAAAGTAAGGTTGCAGTTAACATGTATACTGTTTAATCGGAACACGATTGTAAGCTGATAACAATGGCATATCAGGTGCAACGAGATGAGATGAGTAATTAGCACAGGATAAACAAGTGAGAGATCAAGGTCTAACACTTCATGTCATGCAAAACAAGAAGTGAATAATATTCTACAGTGAACAATACTAAAACAAAATAACATAATATTCGTTGACAGTTATCCTAAACAAAATTCCTAGTACCCTGTAGTAGACCGATTTTTAAGTTGATAACAACGAAGATAAAATGCACCACTGAAGTTGCCTTAACAATGTTGCTGATTGCTCATTAGAAATTTGTAACTCAGAGTACTACCTGTAGTCTGCAATAACAAGTAACGAAAAACTTGACAGCAGCAACGTGACGTCCGGAATACCACTGACAGACCTGACATTTAGTAGGATCATAGTTCACTCGTAATACTGATTTCGGTATTGACCGTGATTACGTGGTCAACTAGGGCTTACTATCTCTATCGCAACGCGAGAAGACTACATCACTAAGTTGAACATTTGAGTTTTAACTTGTTGGTTAGCGGGAATCGAATTTTATTCCGTCTGTCAGAACGTAGGTTGCCAGGTTATATAAAATAACGGTTACAAACTAACTTAATAAGGCTAAGCATTGCTAAAAGATAGTGAGAATCGAATTGCAAGAATTGTTTACAATGTATTTTCAAGAAATAAAAGATTAATCAACAATGTTACACAAGTAGAATATGAAAGACGATTTATCACAGTTATCAGTAATGATAGGATATATCGATATTTGATTTCAACCTAAAGCAACTTTCACTCAATTTTGATGGATCCAATGGGATTTAACAATGTTTCCTGAAAAAAAAATAAATCCACGAGGTTGGAATCCTGTTACAATGAGGTATTGGTATAAAAATAGTAAAATGCGTACTCAGTAGGTATTTTCTGTGAAACTATTTATTTAAATTTAAGCAAAAATTTCATGCAGAAACTAATGAGGTTTATTTTAAGACGATCTCATTATATACAGGTTGAATGTATTCAGCTGCGGGACGTGATTTATGTGAAGAGTACTGGTAACAACTGGCTTTTTACAAGTGTTTAGAACTGTTAACTATCGATGACATTTTAATTTTTCTGGTCGACATTTAGAAAAGTGGTTAGTTTTTTTAAACACTCAACCATCGCTCGACATGTTATTCAGCGTGAATATGGTCTACATTTGAATTCTGCCTTTCATTACACTATCTGGTAGTTGAACTAATGGTATGTTCCTATTAATCCTAATATCGGATGAAATAATCACAACGCCAGTGGGATTTCTAATCTCTAATAGCTGTTGAGTGAGTTCCAGTCTGCAGTCTGAATGGTTACCGCAGAGTTAACAATAAGTGTAGGTCTAACAATAATACATGGTTTTTGAAATGGGATCAAGTTTTCGTTTATCTAAGTACTAAGATAAGTTCTTTAAAACTCCCAGTTGAATCAGTCAGTCTACATACGTTTGCACTGTTTACTGTTATCGTAAAAACTTTCTAACAACGTCTAAACTGAAAAATTGTGAGAGTTATGGCGGTTATCCAGTTAATTATTTAGCAAATTATAGGTTGACGGCGTGGTAGACTTACAACAACAGGAATTCAGATCTAAATATACTGAGCAGTAAAGTTTCGAACCAATAGAGTAGCTTAAGTAAAAGAATAATTACAACAGAGTTTATTCTTGTATTATGCTTCCTAATTTGTGGTGTCACGAAATGGTGATATTGGCTTATCACCGAACGTCACAATCGTTTAGTTGCGACTAAACGAACATCAAGCTACCAACTAATGTATATATAGTGTGCTATGACGGGATAAAAAAGCAAAATCACATTTTCGACTAATTACAGTTTGCGTTACGTTTTTAATTCACTATAATGATTACCCAGTGTAATATTTATTTTATTTTTAGTGTGATATTTTATTCGGTGTTTACTCAGTGCCATATTCATCTAAGATACGATATTCCTTGCATTAAATTAATGTGAACTACGTTCTGCATGATATGCAGCATGCGACTTTAATATTCTAGGCATTTGCCATACATGTGACATTCTTATAAATAATTAATGAGTGTACAATTCGGTATATAAATGAGTGTATTTCCGACTAGGGTCTTTTGTTTGGGGGGATTAAATCTACACTAGTCATAACCTTGTGTTTTTATCTTGCGTCACGGAGGTCGTGGTGGTTTCTCGCTTTAAAGCATACGTAATAAGAGGCTCGATTAAAACTTTGGCGACCACCCTATTTGTAAGACTATACAAAAGCTGGTAAAAACCAAAGTACTTACGATAATATTAGTATTTGGGTTTCCCGCAATAAGCTTATTTGCTGCGTTTGCTTCTACATTCGCCAAACTTTCTGTATACCTTAAATTAACTCCAGACTTCATATCTAACAGCTTTCTTTCAATTTCATATGCACCATCCGCGTTTATAATTCCTACAACAGATACTGCTCTTGGTTTATGACATAAATGTGCTAATTTTCTTCTTGTATGAGTAATGATTATCGGTACTGGTGGATCATATTCTTCTGCAAGTTTCCAAATCTGGCAAAGTATTTCTTCCAACGCACTGAAAACTACCTTGGTTCCAGCTTCCTTTTCATCATATCTAACTGGAATTCCGAAATTGTAATTGAAAAAAAGATTACTTGATCAAAAAAGTTCACCAATGTTAAGTCACTAGAGAGAATTAGTCAGAATATTGAAAATACTACCGAAATGTCACTTACAAGTAATTACTTATGAATCAGTAAACTGTACATTATGAGTGGTAAGTGTTCATTTGCACCAAAAGATACCAAACCATTCGCTTTAATTCACAATAAAAACCCTCTGCATGAGATATAAGCAGAGCTTGTGTGAGCTTATCACACCGTGTTAAAAGCCAACATACGTTTAAATATTGTCCCGTTTTTTTCGTACGTAATACAGAAATGTGGTACAGCTGGATACCGAAAATACAACGTGCCACACAAAATAAAATCGTTGTGACGAAAAAATCGGGAGCGATAGGACCAAAGTGGGAAATATCAGCAACAGGTCAGCCAGACAGTCATGTACAACGTAGAACTCCGTACATATGTACATAAGTTTAAGTTGTCATACCACGGTAGCACAGAAATGCAATCCTCTATTCAAATCCCATAATAGTAGAGGCAGTAGAAGTACAAGCAGTAATCGCAAAGATCACGGTCCGATGATATTACTCCAGAAATATAATCTAGTGAAATCGATTTGAGAAGAGAAAGATGAAGGTCATGAGAAGTTTAGATTAGGATTTGGAAGAACATAAACGATAGATGCGCCTGCAACATTGCGAACGATTTCGAGCCATGTCACTCAAGGTCTCTAAACACCGATTACTATTGTCTGTGGGACCCCAACCAGGTAGTGTACACCTACCAGCAGGGCTCAGTGACTTCATGGATTTCTGCTATGTTTTGGTCTGGCCGCCCCTAGCTTTCTTCCAACCTACTCCTGCACTACAAAACAGCTCATCGAGGCAGTCGGTAGTTAGGCATACGTAATACATGTCCCAACCACCTCAACTGGAGAAGATGCACTACATCAGGAATTGATTCGCCATCCTTAATCAGTGTTTTTTTAGCGACCCCGAGCATTGTTTACTCGATGGTCCCAGGATACACGAGCAATACTTCAAAGACAACTATAACCGAATACTAGTGATCAACGAAATCTTTTATTCTTACAGGCCAAGTTTCACAGCCATAAAATAGGACGAAGCGAACTGCTGCATTGTAAACCCGTCCATTGGTTAGCAAACGGATATCTCGCCTGCACCGTAAGTGACCCGAATTGGCGAAAGCCGATCGAGCCTTCCTTATCCGTGCTGAGATTTCGTCAGACGCCAGGCTATCAGCACTGATGAGACTCCACAGATAAGTGAAGCATCCCGAACTTCCTTGCATTGATGCTTAGGGTAGTCAGAAGACTGCATTTTGTCAACGTCTTCACCAAGTACAACTACATCATCGGCATATTCTGAGTCAATTAGTCAATCTCCTGGTGGAAGGTCCACTCCCGAAAAGTCAGACGAAGATAATGTTATCTCTAAGAGCGTGTCTATGACGAAGTTAAACAAGAATGGAGAAAGTGGACAGCCCTGACGGACACCACCTGAAGTAACCAATTCCGATGACAGTTCGCCATAAGCTCTAACTCGACCAGTAGTGTTCGAGTAGAGAACTTGTATAAGGTTAATGTACTTCTTTGGTACACCTTTCAGTGACAGACACTAATACAGAACCTCACGATCAACAGAGTCAAATGCCACCTTAAGGTCCAAGAAGAAAACCATTGTTCGACGCCTAAATGTGTCTGTGTTCCAGGACCTGTGGTAATGCGAAAACCCGAGTCAGAGCAGTATGGCTTAAAATGTATGGAGACTGAAGTGCGTTATTGAATAATTACTAATACTCACTTTTATCTTGCCATAGGCTAGTAGCATTTCCCTCTAGATCACGAGCCACAAAGATAATTCGCATGTGTTTCAACTTTAAATGTTTGATTACTTCATGAAAACCACAAACAAGACGCCTTGTTCGCTTGCGATGAAAGGGGCTATTAGCATAGATCACATAAGCTCTGTCTTGGAAAGTAGCCAATCGTGAAATCAACTCACTAACAAGATGATTTTCAACCTCCGATGGTGTGGATTCTTTTAGGGAATTATCATTAAAACGGACGGGAGTACAGAACTACAAAACCGAAACTATCAAACATGTCACTTACCTCTGTGATTTTCGTCATATCGGTAGACTCAGTTGTTCCGAAAGGAATTTTTACCGGGGCTGGAAGTGACTGACTTCGTTGAGCCTTGCGGAAGTCACGCTCATTCAAAATAGATCGTTTAAGACGAGTAGGTCGCCTGGTTTTATTCACTTCATTTGGTTTGCCTATCTTTTCGATATGTTTTTCGGAAAGAGCTTTCACACGTCTTAAAGGGGTTGAGGTTTCTAGCTCATTATCCGTAATTATAAATTCCTCCAATCTTCTAATAAATGGAGTACTGGACTTGATACTGCTGAAGGAGGACCTTGAGGTTACTGAATTACCATTTGGGACTTTCTTTGGTTTCCTTTTCCCAGAATTTCCAGAGGTGATGCATTTATTCTTTATACTGATATAAGACAATTCAGGGTCTTAAGACAGATGACTTACGAGCATTCGCTATTTTCTCCCAATGATTCGGAAACGGTATCACCAGCTATAGTTTTGTCAATTCGTTTCAAGTGTTTATTATTATTACGAGATAGTATTTTAAATGGGTTATCATCTTTATCACGGAAGGAATGAGATGATGGTAACTGAGATGGAATACTGCTACACGGATACCCCGTTAAATGAGGTTTCGCAACCCGACTCCCTTCGGATTTATTCAGAGCTTCAGTAAATATTACGTACTTTGACCTTTTTGACTTCCCGTCATCTGTTTTCCGCATATATATTACTACTAACGGAATTTTATTGAAATGGTTGAAGTTGGCAATGAGTTAATCAGATATTTCCTTTCCTATATTTGAGAAATAGTGGAAAGTCAGAACATGCAGTTTTCATGCTCGTGCTATGAAAGGCAAACTATGTGTAAACGCTATATGATTTCAAAACAAAACATAAAAGAAAGGTTCCTTCAACTAAATTTTCGCCTTGTTTCTATTAAACAGAAGCAGGGGAAACTTGAAATGGAGACATTAGCATCCTAGTTAGTTTCTCTTTCAATCATAAGATCCGAAATGGTATTAAAGGTATGTTAAGAACGATAAATATTTAAGGCATATCACATTGGCCAAAGTTATTAGGACTACAGTGAAACATCATAACCGAATAAGAGTAGACCTCAATGTTTCTTATTTTATGTGGAAACTGTTGAGTCATGTTTTATTTACTGAGATTGCCTACTATCTATGTAGTTTGATGGCTGCTTATATGTTTAATTACACCAGGCAAGAGGATCAATATTTGAGAGGGATTATACTTCTTTCGGATTATAATAACTGAGTTTTATTCCCTAATAAACTCCTACCGTAACTGTCACATTGACATGGTGGTCTTGCTTACTTATCGTGATGACCTAACTGAGCTATATTGGCTGAACAAATGGGTAACGGGAAGGTTAAGATTGAAATATTTACCCAAAACTAAGCGAACTCACACTAATCATAAAACAAGAGAAATGGCAAGATTTCGCGTGGGAAGATTTGCATTTTTGAGGTACTACTCCTCGCCGAGTTAAATTTATTATTCAGATATTATGCATCAAGACTACTATTTTTGACCCTAACTCCAGTAGGAACAGCATCTTTTTCAAGCTTAATTTTTGCATCTGTATTTTAAAGTCTACTGGCTTTTCTTCGTTTTCTGCACTTTTTGACTTAACAGTTCACTTGTTCCTGATTATTAGTTTTTGTTTCCAAGTGTCTAATTTCTTTTGGAAACCAGTTCCATCCAAGAATAGGGTTGAACAGACGTCTGACATACCCTCATTTTTATTACCTTCCGAAACATAAAACTTACGGGGACACTAAGAAGTTTATCAAGCCGAGAACAAATTACTTGTCAGCTGAATTCCTACTTTGCCATCAATTCGTCAACGAATGAAACTCGTCACCTCGACATGTTGAAACCTCAGTTGTCGACGCACTTAATAGAAAACTAGACCAACTGAGACTGAAATAGCATGAGTCAAAATAAGCCACTCCTAGTCTTCTCAAAACTGAAACTGAGTCTGTTGCCCTTAATTATGCCAATTTAAGCCAGCAAAATGAGCTCTTAGTGATGTGGCATTTCATCACGAAATGAAATCAACTTCCATACCAGGAGGTATCTTGTGTGCTGAGGGTATCTGTGGAGCAGCGCTTGAGGTTATTTGGAAAAGGAAAGAACGAGGGTAAAAAGTGAGCCAATGGCTCAGTAAACACACAGAATTCACTTACACTTAATGGAGAAATCAATAGACAGCAGCCAGAAATACAGAATCGAAACAGAAAGCTGTTACAGAAAGATTTTGAATGGATCACCAAAATATTTCGACAAGGTCACTCTGTCGTCGCTTCCTGCTCTTTGCTTTTCGATCGAGAGAAATTGAAGTATGAGTTCAGCTCGGTTATGCTACTTCCAAAAACTCTAACTCCCACTACATTAATGTCGAAACTAAGTTACTAGAGGATATGAGGTTGACGTTTATGGACAGTGCGCAATATTCACTGTACTTCGTCACAAATTTGATTTACTGGACTTCTAGTGATTATGGTGGGCTACAACATCAACGAGGGATAATACAAAGAAATGTGGTTATTTATTAACATTGTCTATAATTAATCAGCTATCCACTTCTAGATGTTCGAAATAGTTGTGGATAGGATTATTGAGAAACACCTCAGTCAGTGGCGAATTGCAGAATTTGAGTATGCTTAAAGAATACAAGCTGATTTAACAGTGCATTCTGCTGTATTATTCCTCTAACTTTTGGATATTGACATTAGGGTTGAAAATGAGCTTAAGTGCGGAGTGCACAGGAGTGTTCATGATGTTAAAATCGTCAGACTGACCAGTGAGACGCTTATATTCTAATGGATAAAGACCTATAGGTTTTAGCTATTCTTCGTTAGGCTTGCATTTGAATTGTTGGAAGTGCTCGGTCAGGTATACGCCATGCCGGGCACATCCCACAGCAACAAATCAGACTAGATCATATATCTTTTGAAGCATCAGTCATCTTCAAAATATATCGCTTAATCCCTTCAATTGTTACTTATAATTTGACTGTGTTTGGGACGCTTCATTAAAAAGTTTCAACGGAAAACAGCATTTTAAAATAGTGGATATTCGCAAAGTCTCTGATAGTGAGTGTGAAATGACCCGGTCTCATAATGAATTTGTGAGTTAAGAAAAGAACGGTCTTATGGAGGTCTTGAGTCGATCATTATCCAGGACAACTAAAATCTGCTCATTAGAGACCAGCTTCATGAGGGAATTCTTGGAGTTCTAGAAAGCAGCCGTGACCGTTGGGGTTCAACCCTGTAGAGTGTAGTCAGTTACCTAGTAGTTGAATGCTTTTACGGAGAAAACGCGATTGGTGAACTGTAAGTATTTATTATTGTACACAATTGTAACAATGTTTTATTGTACTCCTTTTGTTTAACGGTACTAAAAACCACCGCTTGCGAGCGACTGTCTGTTTTGGTTGCTGACATCTTCGAAATAGCTGTTCATTATATTGCCCACTTTCTTGGTGTAATTTCGGTATTCTTTCGACGCTACAAAATCACCAGTAAATATATTCCATGCCATGGATTTATTTATACTTACAATGACGGGTTCGTAATTGGTACTTAGTGGTGACGGTTAATCACGACTTGATCACTCACCAAAATTGGTGAGCTGACGTTTTCTCCAAAGAAGTCAATCACGGTGAGTCTATAATTCATCTATCCTCATTTTTTTTCAAGTTGTAACACTATTATTGATGTCCTTTAATATATATGATAGTTGCAACAACGTTTCGAAACGGTAGATGGCTATAATAATAGACTCCGATGTGGTTTTCACTGCATTATCACCTGTCTTCTCCCCGTCACCTCAGATTGCCGGTTTATTTTACGTGCACGAATTTCGCACTAACGCTAGGTACTTGGCGGCCACAAGTGTCTTAATTTCTGTCGTATCGTCTGGTAGCAGCAAGTCACAAGCTTCGATGCTTCGACCACGCTCTGGGAATGGCTCTGTCATTTATACCTACGCTACACGATAGCTGATTTATTTATTTCATGCTATACTTGATAAATTCCCCAAACTAGACTGAAGCGATTCTGTCGGTGGTAAGCCATATCGTCACCTGCAGACTCCCAGTCACGGCAATACCACGCCGACTGGCACTGGACAATTCAGTTTTCGCTTAGAGTGAGTTTGATAGTTGACTTACTACATGTATTGCTTCGTCTTTCTCACAGTCCTTGAGCCTCCTCGCCTCTTTCGCAAAAGGATGGTATTAGTGGGAAACCACATGGCGATTACAGAGCAGCAACGGCAGATATTCAATTTTCTGCCACTAAAGCGGTATGCAGCACGAAACTGCAACTGTCTCGGGAATTGGTTTCGCACCGCGGAGCAGCGATTTTATGTATATCAGATAACGTCCAACGACTATCTGCGTAGATGCGAACACTGCCTCTGGCGTGAACTTGAATATAACATCGACAGGTCGCTCTAACTCGAGAGTTATTTACTAGTCCATATGTTTTCATACGAGGAAATTCGGTACGCGAATCTTTGCTACAGCCTTGCGAAGGACCTTTCAACCTGATCCCTCGCCACGAAAAGACCTTCAGGGTTGATGGACACAATTAACATTGATGGTCTCGAACCAGCACACGTCTAAGACAGTGCCTTATCCGATAAATCGAGATTTGATGCTAGACCCATCCAACTCACTAGCGGGATCCCTATTACTTCTTCGGCTTCCACGCTAGATACCCCCGAGACGTCATCCTCACGCCCCAGTGCGTCATCTGCACTACCGACGGATGAGGCTTCAGTCTCACGTCCAGATCAGCAAACACCTCTGCCTTTGACTTCGGATGAGTCAACAGTCTCAAGCTCTTAACCACGAGGTTTGAATAAGACTTCCATCTTGCGATAAATCTACCTGGACGCTTTCGCGCCTAGCCCTAGTAAGCAAAGTATGGGGTTTAGGATAATACCCCTTACCGCATGCTTGCTACACTTTCTTCTTTTCCTTTTGATTTTTCTTCCACAGCCCACGCCTCCAACCATCACCAGGCTGGTATCATCGACTTTAGTCAGTCTTAGCGAAATCTGGCCTCATCACCCACGCTCTTGTTAGTGCACTCAGTCGATGTTCTGGTTCCGAATATCTGGTGTGGTTTCTAATTTGGTTATTCTGGTCGTTTCTGGTTTCTTGACTCAACATGGTTTCGTCCTATGTCTGCAGCGCCTTCTGGTCGGGGACCCTTCGAACGCCATCTTCAGATTTTGGACACAAACACTGGTGTGGCGCGACAACTCGAGCAGAAAATATGGCACGTTATTCCTTGTACCGATCTCTGCAAAGGACCTCCGATGATAACTCAAGCATCATGGATCGCTTGTTGTTTGTCTACGATTCCGTCTTACAACCGCACATTTTGTCGATCAATCTAACGGACGAGGCCGGTTCATATCAAAAGTGTAAATCCTTTCTAGCAGAGGTTTTACATATATCGTTTATGTACTTGATAAGATATCTCCACTTGTTATTGGTGTTGGCGATGAAAGGCGACTGTTGTGCCATACGACTTGTTGGCATCTATTTAAGAATGAAAGAAACCATGAATATGGTGGGTTACTGGTTCCGAGTGACTTCAGTTTGAAGAGAAGCCTTTTGTGTGGGACCTCATCATAAGCTTTCTTAAAGTCGAAGAATAGGACTGATACTTGAAACCCTTTATCTTGTTTTTGAGTTTTTTGTGTCGCATCACCTAGACCTCAGGAACCTATGCCGTGAAGTCAAGATCAGATGTGTCTAGACTTCCAGGCATTAGGGCAACAATCTGTAGCGAGTGATATGGTTAATAGTTTAAGACTTGTAACAGGCTGATCATTGCTCTAATTTTGCAGCATACCACTAGGATACCATCTGGCCCTTCAATGTAAGAGTGTTTCAGTGTGCTGATCGCCTCAGAAACATTCTAAACACTAATGTCTGCCATGGTGATTTCACAGGAAGGCACTGGGGTCAGCTATGAATAATTTAGTGGATTTTCGTTTGTTAGTGAAGCACAAAAATTTTCTTCAAGCTGCTCCGTGACATGTTAAGCTTCCTTAATAAATATGCTCCGTCCTTTCACTTTAGAGTATTTCATTTTATTTCAAAGGATTCTGATAAGAGCAGAAGATTCACTATTCAACTCGGCAGCATGTTTTTCCCGTACAATTGCCATTTTCGTTTGTATTATCCCTGCCTTGACAAAAATTTCTGCTATCGTAAGCAATGAGGAGAAGACATTAAGGTTATGAAGTCTGGATGCATGTCTTCAAAGAGGTTTTTGTATGATAAAATAATTTTGTTAGTTCGTCGGTATGTTTAACGTCCATAAATTTATTCCAGTCAATGCTTCCGAGGCAATATTCTTTACGGAATGTAATGCATTTACGTTTTACTGTTGTGACTTTTACATCAAGACTGACTATGACGATATTATGATAGCTATGTGGGAAATTCTTCCCATCTTATACAGTATTAGGAATAAGATCGCTTTTGAAAACCGATTCGGAAAGTTAATGATATTTGTTTGGGCCATCTGCATGTTGACTCTGCCGTCCAAGCTCTAATCATTCAATTAGTCATTGAAATCTTTCAGGTGATTTGATTTGGAACCAAGATTTTTCAGGCCTGTTGCATTCCCCGAAAATAGCCCTGTCTATATACTGTTCTAAGGTTAAAGCCACATCCTGCATTTTAATCGCCAAATTCGTCAATAGTTCAGGATCATTAAAATCCGCATTCCCGGTTCTAAACAAGTCCTCTAAGGTTTCACGGGCTATTACATGTGACTGCCCAAAGAGCTGTTTTAAAATAGCCTTAGCTCTCTTATATCCCGCCTGTGGATCCATTATAAGACAGCCTTCAATCGCATTTTTTGCCCTTCCTTTACAGTAGTGAATTAAATATAATAAACGCAAATTGTCATCTTTTACTCTGGGTTCTATAAACGTCTCAAATTGCCTAATGAATCTAAAGTAGTCGCGAGGTCTGCCTTCAAAGAATGAGAGTTCAACCTTAGGTAGTTCTAAGCCTACTATCGGTGTCCTAAGCATCTGATCCGTCTCTGGTACCTTAGAACTCTCACTTAAGCTTTGTTCCTTAATGCCTGCCAAGGGTGACTTACAATAATAAGTATCAGACATAACATCATCACTAATAAAGTGGGAACCCATTAAACAAGCATCATCAACGACTTGCCTAGCATTTCGGGATCCTTCAAGCTCTTCCACCCTCCTCGTGTTTGTTTTCTTCCGGTTGCTCATTTTTAAGTGTAGTTCAACGGAAGATAAATAACAAATACAAAATATAGGAATTCCACAGGTAAGAAATATCCAAATCAGAAAATCGTTTTCCAAAATACAGTTTGAATACAAAAAATACGATAAGTAATCCAAGGTTCTTCTTCCAAGGAGTTTATTATTATAAACGATTAAAATTCCAAATGTTTCTTTATTCTTCGTAATAATCAGACTGTAATTGGTCTTCTAATCAAAATTCAGACTGTAGATGGATTTTCTACCGTAGCAGTTCAAATTGTTTCCAGTAAGTGCAATTCGTACGCGTTATCTCCCAACCCAATGTCAAAAACACAATAATTCTAGGAGAAAACGGTCTATATTATATTAAAAATGGAAATACAAATCAATACCTGAATTTTGATGCACTTTCCAAGTCCCAATTACTCTCAGGAGTATCCGAATTAAAGGGAGTAAGTGCTGTTAGATCCAACCGCCACAGTATCAATCCAATATGGCTGTGGCCATATTAAAGATCAATTTTAAACAACATATATACAGTTCAGAAGCAAACATAAAAACTTCAATATAAGTACAAAATATAGAAATAATAACAATATACAATGATAAAATCTCAAATTGGAATCAAATAAAATACCAAAATGTCAACAGAAAAAGTCCGTCATGTCATAACAAAAATATGTAAACATGGAGGGATTTTCCAAAAAACAAAACATTCAAAAAGGATTCTACAGGTAGGGAGCAGACTTAAACAGATAATTTTGCCAGATCCCTTGTCGGTGCATTATATATGTGATGAATTTTTCAGTAATTAATATAAAAGCAGTAAAATGAATTTACTGAATCACAATGTTACCAGAAGTTTGAGTTCATAAAATATCTTTCATGGCTACACTCATGTTTGATCAACACTTATCGGTTTTCCGCACGAAATTCAGGCCAGGTAACACAGGATTTTTATGCTCAACAGTTTGTCAGCTTCTCGTAGTATAAACTATTCAGGCACATCTGGGGCTTTTCTAGCTGATTATTAATAACTGAAGTACAGAATGCATATGCTAATCAAACCTTAACCTTCCAGCCACCGGTTAATGGGATTCATTTCATTGTTGCTTATCAGCTTATTTTAGTGAACCAACCAATTTTTATTTTCGAAATCATACCCCTTGTTTTTTTGAGAAATCTACAGGTTCTGCTTTCATGTATTTGGACAACGCCAATTTCTCTCATATCCGAGCATTTCACAGCATTCCAGAATACGAAGATGATAGGTGACTGACATGACTGAAGGCTGTGATACAAATAATATCATTTTCTGTTTCTCTTCTCGTTCCTTTCTGCTTCTTCCTCTTTTGTAGAACGGTTGTTATACACTAACGAAAGCACTTGTGGAATACCTTGTCCTACACCATATTTAGCAGCTCTGATATTCTTGGAGACTTGCAGTTGTTTTTGCAGAAGGCAGTTAGATTGTTATCTATGCCATCAAGAAGATCAGTATGCAGCTACCTTATCAATTCTTATCAAATACAAGTCTAGAATAAATTGGTGGAATTCTTGGTCACCAATAATTCACCGCAACACAACCGATAAAATTCAAATTAACTATTGCACTATAGATCACTGACTTATGAACATTATTGACAGTTTTGGGCGAAAAATATCAGCCTTCTGCGGTAATGATCAGTGTATCTTGTAAACTATCCATTAAACTGAGAAAACTGTTACGGTAAATGTGTTAGCGCTTGTAACAAATCGATCTTGCTTGTTAACTAACCTGCCCCTTGCAACACACTGTTGTTTTACAATAAGTTTTTTTATTATTGATGTGGTGTTAGGTAGCCCGCTCGCTACAGTTCCTACTATATTCTTTTTAAGTTTTTTACTTTTCATTCCATTACCAACTCAGATCCCCACATACAAGGGAATTATGAGAAGCCATGAAGTAGGAGTAAGTTCCGACTGTGTTATTAGCTGACAACTCTTTTGGGTTCCAAATATTAATCAATTTTGAAAATCCCTCCTTTGTTATGGCAGTCCATGATTTCATATCTGTATTAGGGAAATTCACGAAGTGTCACTCTTCGCTTTTAAAAGATAGACGAACATAATTTGCGATATTAGCGATGACTCTGATGATTACATGAATGTTTGAACACCTGATATACACTCAAACGACCTACAGTTCATCAAACACAGAATGACCTCCGTCAGTTAGACCGCTCAAGGACGTGAGGGAACGCGCGTCAAGTTTTTGGAATTCTTTTTTTATCGTGTCCTACATTATGAGATTACGATCGTCTATCCGCAAAGCAAGTCAGGTAATTAACCTAGTTTTTTCGAATAAGGTAAATAAGTGAGTCATCTGATGATTTTATTAAGCCGGTATTAATCAGAGCACATATGTCACAATAGTGAATCAGGAGCGCTAATCTTTCTAGATAGTAAATAGTGTTATTAGTTTCATAGCTTTCAGTCATGTCAGTTATCTTTCATTTTCGTACTTCAGAACTCTGAGAAACGCCTGGATCTTACAGAAATTTGCATTGTCCAAGTAAAACCTGTAGACTCAGGTAAACCAGACAGCAGTAATAAAAGCGAATACGAGGTTAATGGAGTAAACATACCCTAAGTTAATAAAAATTCGCTAAAATAACATTGCTTTAAGATATATTTCCTCACCTGTCGCTGGGAAAACGCTGCACTCTTTTCGTTGTGACTTCGAAATGCCACCTATCTACAGCAATATTTTTTACCTTTCACCTCCGTTTACCAGATTTCGAACGGGATTGTCTGTTCTCAGACCAAAAGCTTATGCCCTTCTTTATTCCTGTTACGTCTAGACAGTCGAGTGAATTTAAAGGTATTTAGTTAAAGACATTTGCAGTAAACGAGATCATCGTTTTAAAGGAGGTTGATAACAAGAAAATGCTAGTCATACATTTTCATTGTAGATGCAAGGTTCAATTGTAATTGGCGAACATCTGTAAAGTTACAGTTACCAAGTAGAGCTTTTATGGCTCAGTGCCGTGGTACTGTCGAGAGTGCCGAGAAACTGCACTTCCTCTTGAAATGCACTCACGTGACTACTAACGTGAAAGTTCTACTCACTGCCTTCTTGTAGACGAAGTGTCAAATACGTAATCGCGTGGACGATAAGTAAATATATAATGCCTAGACCGAGTTGATGGTTACGGAGGACCCACCTAGGATATTAGAAAACACAGACTCCAAACAGACGGTACGTATAGGCTTCAGGTTCCTGATGGGATGTATTGTCGCCCCCCAGCTATCATTGAACCATATCTTACGTCCTAATTGTCAAGTCCCTATTAATTTCACACCATATGCACCTAATTTGTTTAAACGTGGCATATGTAAGTGAGAAAGTAAATGTATGGTAAGCGAATGGTTTATTAGTAAATTATGACTAAAATACCAAGGATCTTTAAAAATAACGCCCAACTGGGATTTCAGTGTTTTTTTTTCAAAGTCGAAACAACCGTCCTGTGAATTCTAAAATCAAGAAAAATAAACTTACAAAAATGTTATCATGTTATATCTTTTTTATCAGCATGTAGCAACATAAATTGCTAATGTTCGTTAACGCTAAATGCTACATATAAAACAACAATGAAGTTATCATTTCAAACTACTATCATTATTACATTATTTATGAAAATTATATCTGAAATAGTCTCAGCGAATGAAATTTTAAATGATTCCAACGTTATGTCCGACTATCATATCAGGACTTCTTCACGGTAGTGATAATGATAATCAAGTTTACCAAGTAATATAAACGTTTAGCCACGAAATCAAGTTCACACTAAATGTTTACCCACTCGTATTCAGATGCAGTAAGTGGATAAAATGAGTCAAGTGAGGTGTAAACCATGTGAAACATCAATAGATATGTGCATGCGTAAATATATGTTATTAGTAGTTGATATCCGGTGAATGGATGTCAGTCGTTCGTCTATCAGATGTAATCATAAAGGTGAAATTGTAAATGTTTCTTAAAGTTAATCAGTCAGCTACAATGTAGTACTTCGTACGTCTGTACACCAGTTTAAGTTGCTATACCACATTAACACGGAGATGTAATTGTCAATTCAAAAACCATAGTAGTAGAGGTAGTAGAAGTGTTAGAAGTAATAGGAGAGATTAGGGTTTGACGATATTATTCAAGAAATTGAATCTAGTGAAATAAACTTAGAAGAAGGAGATAAAGTAATGAAGAATTAAAAAGTATAGGATTTGGGAGAACACAAACGATGGATGCGCCTGCACCATTGCAAACGATTTCGAGCTATGTCATTCAAGGTCTCGAAGCATCGGTTACTATTGTCTGGCGTATCCCAACCAGGTAGTGTACACCTACCAACAAGGCTCAGTCCACTTGTCAGTGACGTTCTGCCATATTTTGACTTGGCCACCAATCCAGCCTATTCCCACATCGCAGAGTATAGCTCGACGAGTCAGTCGACTGTTAAGCATACGTAACACATGTCCCAACTACCTCAACTGATGAAGTTTCAATACTTCATCTATTGACCTGCCATCCCTACCTAGTACTGGTTTCTTAACTATAGCATTGCTTACTCGGCCGTCCCATGATACACCTATGATCGAAAACCAGTAATCTACGAATATCTTCAACTCTGACTGGCCATGTTTCACAGTCATAAAGTAGGATGGAGCGAACTGCTGTGCAGTACACTCATCCTTTAGTCACCAAACGGATATCTTGCCTACCCCATAAGTGACGCAGGTTGGCAAAAGCCGATCGAGCCAATTGTATCCGTGCTGAGATTTCGTCAGTCACCAAGTCATCGGCTCTGATGAGACTTCACAGATGAGTAAAGCAGTCAACACGCTCAACTACTTTATTCCCTATCACTAGTTCAGGCGCCAATACAAGCCAATCCTGAAGCAACATTTTGCATCCAGACGGGGAGAATCGCATCTCGAACATGCTTGGGTTGTTACTTAGGGCATTCAGAAAACTGCATTTTGTAAGCGTCTTCACCGAATAGGGCTATGTCATCAACATACTCTAAGTCGACAAGCGTGATAGAGATGATTAGGAATTAAGAAGATAGAACACAAAGAGTGAATACACCTGCTCATTGCAAACGATTTTGGTCTATATCATTCATACGATTGGTGATACTTTAGTGTCTATTCGCCTGAACTTTGGACAGTCAACATGGCTGTTTGCAGCTTGCATTTCAGCTACGCCTGTCAACGGAATCATGCAAAAAACTCGGTTTCTGTTTTAATGCCGCTGAAAAAAGTTATTAAGATCACTGTACTTGCCTGGTAAACATCTCTCTGTTTATTGGCAAGGTGTTTCCGTCCATCAAACTATTGCCGTGACAACCGGCCAGCTTAGTGAACGAAACTAACAAGCACTTTTCGGATTGCATTATCTATGGGAAATGATTGTCTCTGTATATGTAACTCGTCAAAGTAACAGATAACCTCACACTCGGTAACTGGTCAATTGTCATCTGATTGAACACTGTTCCCCAGGCATATATCCAATAAGTTGGCAGGTACATACAAAGTTGTTTTCCAACAATCAACTTACTGCTATTATAATCTGCTTCTTACTTGATGCATTAATCAGTACGAACTTTAGAAGTAAGTAAAATGTGTATAAACTTCAGAAATTAGTTCGAAATAACACCATGATTAAGAAATGCAAATATATCCGCATGAACGTATGTGGCAACGGGATTCTTATTACATTATTGACAGAGCTCACTGAAATACACCTACATTATGCATCTCCAACAGAAACCCATATATACCCATGACTAACTATAGAGTACATAAATATACCTGTCACTAGAAGGGAATGGCTCCATTACATAGTCTCACGGGTCAATGGAAACTCTTAATTTAAAAAATCCGTTTTCCTGTATGTCAGTGATTAGTCCAGATTTACTCTGTAATAATATTATACTATCCAGTCTAAATGAAGTGAAGTATTCCTAGACATATTTGTTCTATACAATCATAATTGACGAATTTGTCTATATTAGTTGCCGAAACGCTACCCTCAAGACTACCACAGAAAGATGTCTTATCCGCGTAATACTAAGCTACTTCCTTAATTATAGCGTAACCACTGCACTGATTTCTTAATCGCATTACACAAGACTTGAATGGAAAGGCGGAGGGCAAATCCAAAGCTTTATGAAACTGACGTCATCAGAAAGGTGATTTAACGAACGCACGTTATAAACTAAGCGCTCCGGTCTGTAGCACAATATATATTCCTCAAGTAGGTCATTTCTAACTGAAGCTGTCTCAATACTATGTAATTTAGGATTCTCCACCAGATATATCGTTTATGTTAAATGTTTAAAATCTAAGTACAACGATATTCGTGAAGAATTTTTGAAAACTATGGGGCCTAAATAGGAAAAAAACAAACCAAGTTCTGTCGCTGAAAGTCTCAAGAAGTACTTTAAATACCAGAGAAATTTATTTATTTTCGTGACAATAGTTTTGTTCATGTTTCTAAATCTCTTGTTAGGGGAATATAGCAATAGATTGATTAGTTTCTGCTTCTCACGTACTTATACTGTGTGCAATCATGAGAACAACTATTACCACGAAAATTAACTGATGAATCACGCAAGTGTTGAAATTCCTTACCATCGGGTATTTTTCTGTCTTTTATTGTAATTATGAATAACATTCTTGCAAACCAAGTTTCTTAGAGCTCAGAATTTTTATTTTTTCTCTTGTAGACTGTTAAGTGTTTAAGGGAGGATGCTGACGTTAAGCCAAAACCACATGCTACTAATGGTAATGTTTCCGCAGAGATCAAATATAAAAATCCTAACTCAAGCTCACTAATTCCTAAAAATCCACCGTTAATCTGTAGAAATGAGTCTGTAAATAAACGTGTTAAAAAAGACAAAAAAACCCCTGTTATTCCAGAAGACCCTTATCTTTTTGTGGACATTGACAGTGATGATAATAAAGAGAACATTAATCCTAATAGTTCAAAAGATATAACCAAAAAGTGTAGCACCAAACAAATACATTCAGTTGTGAAGGCAAAGGCGGCCAACCCCAAAAGATCAAAGTCAAAACAGTGGTGTGCATCAACAGCATTCACAAAGCAATACATTCCTCCAGAAAAATTTAATATCGCTAGATATGAATGTACTATAAATGCAGGCACACCTCAATCAATCATAACAGCCATTCCGCTTGTATCAAAAACGGTGAATTTCGAGTCTACTCCAACACTACCTGAGTCCAAACAGTCAATTAATCCAAGAAATCTAACAGCCTCTTGCTCTACTAGTAAAAACACTTTTAGTTGTGTAGAAAGTAACAAAGTTTCTTCGAATTTCCTAGAAAGGGTCTCTGGTTCTTGTCAAGTTGCTAATAGTGTCTCAAACACTCCAGAATTGGAGAAAGGTGTTTCTATACATAATGTAGAAGGATCTATTACAAGACATTGCAAAACAACACTGACTTCCTTAAATCCGCGAATCGCCTCAACTCCAGCAATCTCTAATCCTAACAATGAGTTACAGATGTCCGTAGGATGTCGTGCACTAATCCCAACTCCGATAAATTATACTTCAAATAAAAGAAATGAAAACAGTCACAACGATTCCAGTCAAGTTGTAGAAAGCAATTTACCAAATAACCCATCTTCTGATACACACTCAGCCATAACAGATAACGAAAGCTCGTCTAAGGGTAAGGATTTATTTATTACTTTTTATCACAATGTTTTGGGTGTTATGGAATCTATATATGATTAAGTCACTTGGTTTATATTTATAAAGTTTAAGTCGTGGTTCGCGTAAGCTTGAACATTGCCCACCCCCCACAATATATTTACTTTGATCTATGATCAGGCTTTTATGTTATAATTCTCTTAAATCATAACCGATTCGCCTAAGTAGTTATAGTTCTTAAATTATCAATGGTAAATTCAAGTACTAAGTAGTTAATGCTTACCGATTACTCATCGAATCACAACAAACCGAATTCGTTTAACGTCATCATGTATCTCTCGACTTTTAATGCATAGGAAATATATGAAATCTATGAAATTTATCTTTGTCAACGTCGCAAATCAATTATGTGGCAAACCATGCTATACTCTAATGTGCTCTGGCAACTTGATTTAATGTACACACGTACGAAGTTCTACATTGTTGCTGACTGACTGATATATTTGCTTCAAATCTCTTGATCAATCTAAGGTTATTTGGTATTCCAAATCGGTGTTTAAGGAAGTACATAAACCACATGGTACGAAGTTAACTGCTAGCTGATATAGTATTTATTTGTATTTTCAGATTTGAGCAAAGAATCTACTTCTAGCAGCGGTCGGAGACGTAAACGAGAGTCTGAAAGCGAAAGACAGGTTTGTAGATTCTTTATGCTATTTCGTTTGGACAACTGCATTACTTAACTTTAAATTACTTGCATTAAGTCACAGATTTAGATCCCGTTCCATCTACTTCCTTTCGGTCAACCGGATAGTATCACTAGCCAGTTCTCACTTAGAGTGTGACTCAAAGGCAAGTCAGAAAATTAATTGATATATGTATGCACCAAGTTATTTTGATCTTAGACTGACAGTGTTTCTGTCAGTGTTTACAGCTATTCTTAATTTGGAAATGTAGACATGGGAAGCATCCATTACGTCATGAAAATTAGGATTGACATCTGATTAGATAGTTAGTTTTATTACAAGTATCTTGTCACAAGACCTGCCATAACTCATCATTTGAGTTATACTTGGTTGTTGAATTGCATATTTTGTTGTCATAGTAATCTGTCATATTTTATCTTGAATCCTGTTGAATATCTATTTTAATATTACCTTGATTTGTAAGTCTATTTTTGCTGTTACGTGCGGTAACAAATGCATATACCAAAAAAGTACTGACTTCATGAGTGAAATATCCCAGTCAAAGTGAATGCTAAAGGTTCGGCTAAAAAAATGTGAAAACTCTTATTCTAAACCATTTAGTGCAAGTCAGCTTTAGGGTCCTGAAGCAACGAGTAGCTTGTCTATTTAAATGATGCAAATTAACTCATCAGATAGTTATAAGCCATTGCCTAAGCATGAGGGCTAATGGTACTACCCGGCTAGGCGAACCGACATAAGTATGTCTAGGCGTCTGTTTATGGCCGTCAACTATCAAACGAATGCATTTCGACATTACTTTTCTATCTTGTGGATTAAAACTTCAGACGAAATGTGTCCAGGGGCTGTGGTCTTCTAAACAAACTATTTGGGGAGTATCAGAAAGCTCAGTTATTTATTGTCAACTTGCGTTATTTACGGAGCATATGAGATATTCATCCATGAACCACAGGGAAAATTTATCGCTCAGTAGTTTGGTCTCGTTTACTTTACAATAAAACCTGGCTTTTTTTAATAAACGTTACTAGTAATTGATTTCAGGTACATTCGATGTATTGCTCATGTGTTGGGACCACCGCAGAAGTACTGAGGTTAGACAATGCACCAGGTGAAGATAGCAAGTCGGTTAATATTCGGAATCTTCATTGACTCGGCTAGCTTGGATGTTATGTATGCCTGGTCACTGTCTACCCCAGCGTCCCATATTGAGCAGAGCTGAAGTCGAGGTCCGCGCTATAACTTTGACTAGTAGTTGGAGATGTTCAGAACGTGGCTCAGAATCATTTAGTACACTAAGCACACAAAAATGCATACTTTTTAATTCCTCTAACAATAGTCTTTCTGTCTATCCTTTCTAATACAGTTATTCTGACCTTCTCTTCTGTTAGTCTTATTAGTTTTTTGAGTCTCTGCCGATTAAATATGACTTGGGCTAACACATTTCTATCAAACTTAATTTTGAGTGATTGATCGATAATCGAAGACAAAGCAAAGTAGCTTTCGTCATCCAATTGTAGTTGGATTTTTTTCCTAATCATAATTTTTTCTTTGTTTTCTCACACTAGAAAGCATATGATTCATGGTTAGCTGAATTCAACAATGAACTACATAAGTATGAATCATTTGAATTGAGTGTAGAAAACGAGACCCTATCACTAGATGATCACTAAATTGTCAAACTACACATCCACCATAAATTTTAATATCCTTTATTTTTAATTTTTTGTTCATACAATTCCAGATCTTACAAACTGATATTTATTTTATTTGAACTTGTACATATTTATATAATACAAATAGATCTATATACTTCCGTTTTTAATTCCAGTTGGTAATAAACTCAGTGTTACTGGTCTCAAATAACTGTTACCCTTTGACGTGATTCGTTTATGACGGTTAACGACTCATACCTGGTACCTAGTTGTTGAGAATCTAGCCAATAATTCACCACTCTATATCTATCAAATATACTCTTCAGTTTTGCTTCATGGTTGATAGGCCTATTAACGCTAATCTTTTTTTTCGGTTCCCTAAGGAAAAAGGTATTCCATGGTATTTAGAGCTGAGTAGCATATCTGGTTGTAGGATTTAAGTCCACCTTGCCTTCCAGAAATCTTTTTTGTAATATCTTGGATTTTAAAGTGTTCCTTCTATCATCAATTAGACATAGCTTTCTATCACTCAAGTATTCAACCATTGCGAATAGTTTTGACTTATAGAATGATTTCTATGGTCACTGTAAATCGCTTCAAGTTCCCTGTCTGGTTTTTAAATGTCTAGCATCAAACCATGCTCTCTCATTATCTAACACATTGGATCCTACTACGCCAGCCACGTCACTTTAGAGAATAGTAAAACTTAAATCGCACTGTTAACTGTGAGAAGCTGTGACGGCAGTATAAGGTGCTTCCCTTAGGCAACTAACATCTCAGTTGATACTGCTTTTTCAACAAAAACGGTTAGAAAAGGTAGTCTCTAAAAATGTTACACCCTGCCTTACAGACCTCCGTCAGTAAGGCTGTTTGCAATCAGTTTGAAGGTGTCCGTTTGACCCTTCATCCATGCTCCCGGGTCGCCCGCAATGTGGGCAACCTGGAAGTGACAACCACCGTCCACACCTCTTGTTCACCGTTATGTATAGGTCTTTGACTTTCCAGGCAGGGAAAGACCATAGCAGCTTCACTGATCGTGCTCGAGGTTTAGGTAGCATAATGACTAGTTTACTGTAAAAACAGCACTATTAACTAAATACATGTTCACTATTCTTCTGAATCCAGCTGGAATTATCAAGAACGATTTTTATTCCCGTTCTTATATAGGGAATAATTTTGGGTATGTCGTGACACTACACGTTATAGTGAAATTGCTTAAATGCTAGATGGGATTCTGATTTTCGAATGCTGTAGAATGGTGCACCGTAACCGAGTGATCATCGCACACGAGATAGTTATTGTTCCATGGCTCTTAACAAATAGAAAATGACAACTTATTAACAAAATAGTTGGAAATTCACCAGTTAATGAGGCAATTACAGAAGCATTATTGTATATGTAAGAATTAAGCCGTACGAAATTCTAACCAATAGTAGTATTGTTCACTTATAGGCAATATTCTAATTTACGCAATATGGCTAGAGTGCACCAGAACTCCAAACTTTATTACAAAAGACTATAAAATTAATTTTCTTAATAATTTGTTATTTTGATGCTCACAATCTTAACCGGTGGGAGTTGAATCCGTGTAAGCTGTGAGACAGTTATCTGCCACAGACAAGATCATTGATTGATTAAAGTTATACATTAACACTATTGGATGCCAACTCTGGTTCAGAAAGAAGTTCAGTGTTCGCGCGCCCGATCAGGAGTCCTGGATTCGATTCTCCCCTGCGGGGTTCGTGGATGCACACTGCTGAGGAGTCTCACACTAGGACAAAACGGTCGTCCAATGCTCCCAGGTTTCTAACGGTGTTCTAGCTAGAATCTATTCATGATTCCAGCTATACAAATAGAAAATTAATTTATTTTGTTAACAATTTGTGAATTGTTATTTTAATGTTTACAATCCATGTTCAGCCATGTATTTGGCGAAGTATGAGTGATGAAGCTGAAAATACATCTAATAAATGCGATAGATACTTTTCTAACTACTCATGAGTGTAGTGATTCCATATGGAATCACTGAGCTTTCAATTAGAAACTCATTTGGAAAAGGTCCTAATTTTACAATTTTACCCTGAAGATTTGAATTTCATTGTTTTCGCGCCAAAATGTTTAGTTGACCTTCAGCCTACATTTCCCACTCGGAAATCCTTAACTGTCATTGGTTGACGGATCATTTTAGTACGCTGTTTTGTGGCTCTCACCAAGGGCGTCTTGTCAGTTGTATCAATAAGCTTGAGTTGTGTGCTTACCAACCTCAACCTTTCTGACTGCCTGTAGACTACATTCTCTACGCCTTCTTCTATTTAGTGGGACCTGGGACAATCGGATTAGAATAGCTTATCATGTCACTATATCGTCGATCTTCGTTCCGTTTACTGAGTAAGGTGAACTCGTAAGAGCTGCAAGCATATCAGAAGCACAATCAAGACGTAGTGAATGATCGTTCACAACATTGAATGACAGACATGCCAGTTTGTTTAATTTGCCTCACGCTCTATTACAATCAAAAATATTCAAGTGATTACCGTTTACGCTTGACTGATAGAATCATTAATAGACATAGAAACATGAATGAAACAGATTTTTCTGACATTTACACAGACTGATTGCAAAGCAGAATGTATAATCATTTATTTGATTCCCAACCTTATTTTGCGTAAATTACTATCTAGGTTTCTCTTCGTTATAACTGAAGGTATAATGAAGGTTCAACTTCTCTTGAATTAACGAGATTAAAACATTTGTTGTTGTCAACTCAGAGCCTTCATATTATTATTATTATTATTATTATTATTATTATTATTATTATTATTATTATTATTACATCTTAGCATCCAATCAAACGTATTCTGTTGTATGGAATAGCTCAATTTTAGTGAGTGAATTATACTGGTTACACTTGTTTACTACTCTTACACGCAAGAGAGGAATGTTTTACAATTTGATTACATATCTTACTTTTTACGCAAGTCAATCTGTTATGTATTTGGTTGAGTTGATTCCTATTAACCTGTTAACAGTCCCTGAAATATTCTTGACATGTAGTAAAATAATCTGATTATTAATTTGCGATAAACATCTCCCTGCTGAGAAAAAGTTGGTTGACTTTATGATTATTTCATATAATTACTATTCGTCCCTTTTTCACAATATTTGAGTTCTTCACTTCATGTTAGCTTCAAACACTTACTCAGCACATGTTAGAATCTCCAATGGTGTCATCGTTGTTGTTTCGAGTATGACCGACTAGTGGTTTTCTTAAAGATTTTAATCTGAGTGTTTTCTGACCAGAACATCGAGGAGGGAAATTTAACATGTTTCCTCTTTCTGTTTTTCAAAATAGTCCTTTCGGATTATGTTTATAATATTCAAGTCTAAATTCCCAGAAAATGCTGAAACTCTTGAAAATGCTTTCGATGGCTTTGAGATTATTTTATGTTTGATTACTTCGAAGCTTCAGAGCTGTAAGATTGCCATGAAAAACCAGCGCTTTAATCTTCATATCAGCATGTTTAGTGATTCCAACCCTTTCAGTGTTTTTTTGGTCAAGCCCTATATTTTTATTCCTTGCTTGTTTATAAATAAATTTGTCAGAGATGTACGTAGACAATGGGTCAACTCAACTGGAGTCACCCATGATTTTTCGCATTCCAAAATAGAGATATACATTTTTATTGAGAATAGTATGTATACTTCGTAAACTTTGATCCAATCAAGGTTACATGAAGATATTACTTGTGACTTGTTTCTGTATTTGTTCGTATGCTTTAGGACAGAATTCAACATAAGATCATGTTTTACTTTAGGATTGTATTTATTCAGCATATCATTCATTTTTAATCTAGTGCGATATCTGTTCGGCGCAACATTTGTTTTACATCAGTGTAAAGTTTTTGTAGTATACCATTCCATTGCATTAATTTAGTGAGTCTATTGCTATGAGGACGGGAATGAAAAAAACACCAATAAAAGTGAACGAATCAATAACAACCAACAGTTCGTTTGAAAATTAGTTAATCGGCTATTGAGTACAATTGCGAGTGGCAACTTGTAAAGATACCGAACCAAATTATAAGCAATTCATTATTGTGAAAGTATGATTGCTCATAAGGTAAGTCATTATGTATCTAGAAATATTTGACTAGAGTTCAGAATGATGCACTTATATATAATGGTGATAAACTACATTCCAGGTTATTCTTTCACCCGGTATTATGGAATAAGAATATGTAAAAAATAATAGGGGATCTGACTTTTCGATAGTGAGTTACTAAACTTTTATAAAAGAGCAAGTGACTTATTGTAAGAAGATTTGAAGATTTACTGAATGTCGTACGGTAAAGTGTATATCGCTCCATCTTACGGAGTATGATATTGTTACAAAACAATTGAAACATGCTTCAGTTAATTCTATGCCCGCTGCTAAAAAGTAATCAGCAGAACGAAATCTGAACAGCACCAATAGAAGCGACGTGTTAAGTTTGTTTGTCAAGTGCTGTGTTAGTTCAACTTTCGCTTGTGATTTTGATGATACCGGTGATTTGGTGCGCACAAACTAATCAGGCGTCATCGCAGAATTCGAGTTCGTGAGATACACTAGCTCGTCTGAATACAAGGCCATTGGGAATGAAGCAGATTTCCTTCTAGGTGATGATGAATCTAGTTAGAAACGGATTTTGAATTTTTTTTACAATTTTTAATCTAGAATCGTTGGAACAGTGTCCTCATCGGTATGCGGATAGAATATTTAAGATCTTGCAACGTTTGTTTACCTAGACCTACACAATATATGCTCTAAAATTCAATACGATTATTCCATTGGTTTACATTCTAACGAACATAGCTTAGTACGGTCATATCAACAGATTGAGCGAACTCCACTGTACTTTAAATTCAACAACAGTCGTAATCGGTTACAAACATACAGCATCAGCATTTAGACAAGTATATCCAAGTGCAATACAACTAAGTGTTTTGTTTCATTTGAACCACTGTATGTGGCACATAACTCCGCCAGTAGAACCTTCGAGGCTACTGCCGGTCCCAAGCCCGGATAAAGTAGGAGGGGTTGTACATTCGGTTTGCGCCGACATTCCAACTATAAACTAACTTGCCGTAAAAACGCCAACCAGAAAAAATAAATCAA